GTGTCTCAATATATACGGACTGCCAGGTGGGTTAGAAAGCCCACACACACAGGAGCCGAGCCACTCGTCTGTCCCCATTAATCACTGAAAACAGACAACGGTAAACGAAAGAGCTGGCAGACGGAGATTCTCAAACAAAGATGAGCATGCAGTTNTATTTGAGGCCCCTTGAGTTTAGTCATGCTCTTCTATGGGTTTATAACTTTCCACTGGATCCTGACTTGTTCATAAGTGGGCATACAAGTAAGCACAATGTATTTCCCCAACTCTATAAGTAGCTCAACAAGGATGGCTTAGTTCCCTCCCTCCCTACCAAATAATGGACAATTGATAGCCCAGCCTTGTAGACACATTACAGACAGCTGGGATTACTCTAAATCAAGATTATTTCTGTTCCACCTTTAGTCACACACAGGTAAGATGGTCTGACATTCAAAGTTTTAATTCTAGGGCTCATGGTTTAAAATAGATGTTCCCAACTTCTCTATGTGATGGTGAGCCTGGGTTTCAGAAAAGAAGTGACAAGTTCTGTTAAGGCCCAGGATACCCCAGACCTGAGAAAGGATTATGATCAGTGAGATTTCAGTGGCCATTTGAAACCTAACATCAAATTATATACAAACTACTGTTGTACATAATTTTAAAACAAAGTTGTGATATTTTATAATATAGAACTAGATAATTTACATTTGCCTTAGGAAATGGTTATTTTATCTGTCATCATAGATCAGATTTAATGTATAAATACAGCATTCTCAAATAACAGTTGAATCCTTAAAGTACGTTGATTAATTCAACTTTTAAAATATTCTAATTTAAGCTGGGCAGTGGTGGCACACACCATTAATCCCAGCACTTGGGAAGCAGAGGCTGGCATATCTTTGTGAGCTTGAGGCTAGCCTGTTGTACAAGAGCTAGTTAAGGATTGCTACACAACAACACAACAACAACAACAAAACAAATGCCATTTTATATGATGAACAAAGGTTGTATTTAGGGCCCTCGGGGTGGCTTAGTAGGTAAAAATGCTTGCTACCAAGCCTGACAGCCATAGTTTATTTCCTGCAACTAACACGGTAGAAGGAGAGAGCTGAGTCCTGTAAGCTATACTGTGACTCACACACACATGCATATACACACAACTTTGCATATACAATAAATAAGTACATAAGGATTAGATACTATTTTAAATTATATATAAATATTCACATTCTAAAGAATATATCATTATGAATAAGGAACATCTACTGATAATGTCTATTCCTTCTTGATAGTTGTGTGAAACTACATATGACAAGTTAATTACACTGGTAAGATTGCATATTTGAAACCAGATAAATAAATTGATAGGAATCATTTTACTGAGTAGGATGCCTTTGTGACCCAATGTTCATAAACAAATTTTCTGAATCAATTTAGAGATATGACATAGAAATAATCACTTGTCTGCAGAAATAGGTAAAGTAAATAAAGGTTAGTTTTCCAGTGTTCTGTAAATCATTGTGTTTTTTTTTTAATTCTCAACCCGTAAACCTGCTCTGTTAATCTACAGTTTTGATTTAATGCTACACAAAATATTTTTTTAAAATAAAACTGGATAAATAAGTATGGCATGAGACTTAGACAAAGATTATCTTTAAAGTTCTATAAAGTGAATATCTTTAATTTCACTTTTAATCATTGCTTTATTTCTTCATGGTTCTCAGAAATAAATTATCTACTCACACCCAGAAGCTGTAGTGATTGTCCAAAAGTATACACTGAGTTTTAACAGATTTCAGAAACATAATTTGCACATCATCAAATTCATTCATCTTAAGTGAAAATCCAATCATATTTTAACATATTTACTGAGCTTTCTAGCAAACACCACAATCTACTTTTAGAGTATTTCCATCTTTGTTCCCCTCTCTCAGTCAAGGCAGCCACTCATCTGCTTTCTGTCTCTTCTCTGGAGATTGCCCAGAAACAGACTCGTGAGTGCTCTTTCCATCTGACACTCTTTCATTCTGCTTGTTTCAGTTCACACTTGTAACATCAATCAGTATTTCATTCCTCTTTTTGCTTCATCTGTTTCCTCCCTCCCTCTGTTCTTCCTCCCCACCAATTCTTCTCTCTCTTTCCTTCCTGAATGGCACTTTTAATCATACTACTATACTTGCGCTATTATACATAGTGCTTCAGAGTGGGTAATTTGCAAGATTTTATATCTTGGTTCTCAGTGCTTGAGTATTCCTTGTCAAGCACCCACAGAATCAATGTATGATGAATGGGTTCTCTCCACTTCTAAGATTTGTTGCTATATTCTCACATGGTGTGATGTGTGAGGAAGACTAGCTAATTGTCTCTGATATTTAAAAAGCCACTGTTCCCATGCACAATGTCTGTGCTCAGGGCTACCTGTCTAAAGGTTTTGTGGCTTAATACCATTGCACTAGGTTTCAACCTGAATTTTTGAGAGGGCACATTCCAATTTATATTTTTTCCCTCAAATAACAACAGTTAAGAATACAATCAAATGCATTTCATTACAAGAGCAGTTCAAAAGTCTTAATCTATCAACAGATAAGTTTACAAGCTGCTCAGTCAAACAACAGGAAATCCTTGGACCTGAAGATAATTTCCTATAACTCCAAGTCGAAAGTTATAGATACACAGAGCAAGGGTTAGTTCTTAAGGCCTTGGGAAGTTTGACCTAGTTGGCTTTTCTGGGCACAGGAAATTTCCCAGTAGAGTTTGCGAGCATTAACTCTCCAAGGTGTTCATGATTGTTGCCGTTCTAGTTGAGTTGTCTGAGCGAGTTTCTCCCCTCAAGTCTTTAGTAGACATTATCATACTGGTGCTTTGTTGTGCCATAATCCCAATACTAAGGCTCTTCAGTCTGGGCAGAAGGAAACTAGATGAAATAGTTCTTCCAGGGCACTATGTACTCTGAACAGCTGTTGGCTTTTTCCAATGATATAACCACTGAAATTTATTTTCTGTGTCCTCTGGAGGAATCTTGTGAAGCACACTTTCTTGTGTAGTGTTATACTTGGACCCACAGGAAGTGACTCAAGAGCTTTGTGCCACAATACAAGGATCTAAGAGCTAAGGCTCCTCTAGACATAAAACCTAGAAATTCTGTGCGTGCTTTGGCTTTCTCACTTGAAACAACTATAAAATTCCAGGCCACGTTATTCTCAACTGATGGTAGTCATGATAATTTCAAAGATCTCGTGAATGACTTCAAGCTCCTTCTTCTATTGTGCAAATGAATAGCATCTGGTTTCCTGTTTCATATTTATCCTCTGCATCAGTATTTTCTCATGAGAACCATTTTGATTCTTCACAATCTGACGGGATGAGGCTCTTCCAAGTTAGGTCATGCTGCTTCCCTTTATTCCACCTAAAGATAGAATTTCCTACAAATTTTATCTTTAAACCAATTTACTCTTTTGTGATTATAACATACAATCAGGAGAGCCATGAAACACCCAAAATACTTGAATTATAGATGTGTGCTCCCCATGATTGAAGTTTATCACTCTGAAATTTTGACTTTCCTAAAGTCATGGACTTAACGCAGTCAAGTTTGCTGCTGTGTTCAAAGTACAGCTTGTCCTCTTCTTGCCAAATAAAACATTCATTTCTTATTTCCAACTCATCAGGATCATCTTCAATATATATTGTTCATCCCACATTCTACTGATTCCCTCTGCAATCTTCTGCTACAATCCTGTTTTCCTGAACCCTGAGAAAATTGTCCTTATCAACACATTCAATATTATACAGTCCTTGTCTTCATGTTTCTAGTTTCCCAGCCTCTTTCGATTTTCCATTCCCAAAGCTGAATCATCATGTATAGGCATTCACTGAGCCAAAAAAATCCATTCTCAGTTTTGATATCTTTTGTTGGTCTGTTTCCATAAAAACACAGGCAAATGAATAATTCATAAGTTACATAAATTTTGTTTCTAACAGATTCAAATGAGAAGATGTTACACATTAAGTTCTGGCCCAATTAGTGTCTGGTGAGGTCCTTAGCTCTAATTCTAAGACAGTGTCTTCTTGCTACATCATCACATGGCAGAATGTAGAATGAGTAGATTGATGTGCTTAGCATCAATGCTTTTATAAGACTGACTACCCTATGTCTGAGGATACAACTCTAATGATTTTCCATTCACTAAGTACCCAAATTTTAGTACTGATATATGACTTTGAATATCCTTTTTCAAGTTATTCTAGTTGTATAGTGAGTTTCATGTTGCAAATTTATTATTACTCCTCAGCATTACAATATATTAATTACTCATAGTCTTTTATTGTTTATTTTATAATTAAGCAATGGTGCTATATCTAATGTGACATTAGTAATTCTTATTTGTGGAAATCTTTAAGAGTTTCTGTGCTGGATATTTTACCTATCAATCAATTGCTTTCTGTAGAAGTTTATCTTATACTATAGGTTGCAATTTGAAAAATACTTGAGTATTAGTTTGGTTTGTAACTGTATAGCAAAATATTTGTTTGAATTATTTATAATGAGCAGAACAAAAATTTGTTGAATCATAGTACTAGAATCTGGTAAATCAATCATAAAAATGCTAAAAATTGCCTGGGCTCTTCTCATTTCATCACAAAAAGCTGAGAGCATAACATAAGTTTGTTTGAAAAGAGAAATATTATATACAACAGGGTATACCATGCCCTCAACAGCAAAGATCTTCCCACAATGACAACAATCCATTTTATGAGGTGGGATTTCAATTCTTCTTAAAAGTCCACCCCTCTCAGTATTGTTCCAATAGTCAGTAAAAAATATAAAACTATGATTTGATTATTGTTAACAGTTTTCTGTGGATGCTCACAATACATTAAAAACATTTATTTTTCCAAAGTTAACAATAAAAGATTTTTGCTGTTATTTATGAAATGTATTTTGGTTTTCAAAGAACAATAAAAAATAATGTGTCCAATATTTGAGTGTCAATAGTAATTCATATCTGCTTTTTTAGCATTTGTGGAATTCAGCATCTGGAAAGAATTGGCAAGAAACTCAATCTCTTTGACTCCCTTTATTTCTGCATTGTGACATTTTCTACTGTGGGCTTTGGGGATGTCACTCCTGAAACATGGTCCTCCAAGCTTTTTGTTGTTGCTATGATCTGCGTTGCTCTTGTGGTACTCCCCATACAGGTAAACCAGAACCTTGTTGCTCAATTTCTCTAGTAATAGAAGAACACCTGATTGTTTATTTCACACTAATATTATAAGACATGTTATTAACAGTTTCATGAATATTTATATTTTTATGAAATGTCTTTCTAAATTTTATTACATATTTTTTTCCCAAATCACAAGTAATTTGCTCCCATTTTGGTTTGATTGTTGAATATGTTTTCTTTTAAATATAGGTTATCTCATATTACCTATTGTAATATAATTTTAAATTATAGAATGTTAGACTAAGGAATTAAATTTGGAAAATGAAGAAATAAAGAGACATAAAGTTGAGTGGGTAAAAATGTTAATTTTTCACTGGGCAAAAGTAGGGCAGGCTGTTAATTCCAGCACTCGGGAGGCAGAGGCAGGCATATTTCAGAGTTCCAGGCCAACCTGGTCTACAGTTAATGTCCAGGACAGCCACAACTATACAGAGAAAACTTGTCTTGGAAAAACAAAACAAAACAAAAGCAAAAAGTTAGTTTCTCATGTTTATCTAACTAACGCAAACTCTGGGCATTGTGTTTGTACATTATGAAGCATTTTGGGTACTAGGTGGTTTGCAAAGGGCAGAGATATAAACAATGATCAATCTCTAATTCTTTGTTCTAATGAGCACTGATTGCCCATAAGTGAACAAATCAAGAACACAATGTGACAAATTAAAAATAAACTTTCATTCTCATTAAACAACCTGAAACTGTTTATACTGCCATGTCTGACTCCCTGACATTCGTCTACAGCCCTCATTACTTCATAGATAGCATGGGGCATTGCGTGTGTCAATGCAGCTTTCTCCCCTTGCATGATATGAGAATAATGAGGCAGAAGAATTTGGAGCAAAGTTGGCAGAGCTGTCCCCTTTCACGCAGTGAATGGCATATTACATCATACTTCCCTGAACATGAACTTGGACTAGCTCTGATATGGTATAATAGTGAAATCTCTCTAACATGTTTCATTGGATATCTGAAGCCTGTGGTCCTCATTTGTAATCTCTGGGGAAATCATGTGCTCAATCTGTTGTTATGGGATGCTGATCATTCTCAGGAACCTCAAGTATTTCCAGAGCAAGAAGTGCCATGTACTTGATAAAAGGTGGGAGGCACTGCACTCGACTTTCACTTTCATGTGGGATGATTTTCATTCACATGTGGGAAATTCATTACAGTTTGAACAATTGGCCTATTTGTGGATGGAGAGACAAAAATCGGGTGGCAACTATAGCCGTCACAGAGCTCAGACCGAGAAGCATGTTGTCCTGTGTGTCAGCTCACTGAAGATAGACTTACTGATGGATTTTCTAAATGAATTCTATGCACATCCAAGACTGCAGGTAAATTTAAACTATATTATGTACAACACTGAATCATACTTAATAGCACATTAATCAATAGTGTATCCTGTATTCTGGCAAAGTTTTATTTATATACCCACATTTTAAAAAGGCAAATGAAAGACTATAAATATAATGAGGCACTTAGAAAAAGTGCTGGAGGAATAAACAGCCTTGTATGTGTGCTAAGAGACACACGGGACTTGTTATTGCTAGAAAGAAAGATCTTGTTTGACTTAAAGGATTGTTGTTTCCTCTCTTGGGTAAAGCATAAATGATAGTTATATGAAGCAGTGAGTTTTAACATGAAATATAAAAGGCAATGAAAAGACAATCCTGAAAAGTGTAGTTATAAGAAATACTGCTGATAGGAATGTGAGAGTATGGCAGATCCTTTTTGTAAGTTTTTAATTTTTAATGTGTATGCGTGTACTTGAGTGTCTATGCATATGTGGGTTTGTGTATGCCTATGCATCTGTGTGTGTGTGGGGGGGTGGCTGTAGAAGCTAAAATATTGTGTCAGATCCCTGAAGGTGGTGTTGTAGACTATTGTGAACTCTTCAGTGTTGGTTCTGGGAACCAATTCATGTCCTTTGTTAAAGGCATCCAGATCTCTTACTTGCCAAGCCATCTCGCCAGTGTCTGAAATTTTCCTTTTGAGTATTCATTTTCTGGAGTGTGACTGAGTACTAATGAGACAAAGTAGATTTGGGTATTTATTTTTTCAGTGCAATTATTTCATTTCAAAGAAAAAAATAGTTGCTTGTTTTGTTTGTTCTGATAGAATTTGTGTGCGTAAAATCCTGAACAATTCTGAATATAAATATAATTCATAAGTGATATTTAAAATGCATAGTATTTTTATTTACCACTTTTAGTCTATATTATGCTTTTAAACTTTTACATAAACTTTAATTTTCTTTATAAATATTTTATGTATATGTGTATTAATATGCTCTAATCAGCTAATGCTCTCACAATAATTAACTCTAATAACAATATAGATATTCTAAATACTAACCATTTTGCTATACATACATTTTAAGTTAACCTCATATGGAAGGGTTTCCAGAGAAGCCAAATTCTTGTAGACTACTCTTAAGTCATTTTACATTTCAAATGCATTTTCTGGACCTCTAAATGATGATACACTTTAAAATATTTTGACCTAAAATCAATCTTATCATTTATTGTTTTCAATATAACTACAAGCTCCCAACTATATAATATTCGTTAGAAATTTTCCAAATTTCCAGTTCATAACATAATATTAGTTAGATGACAATAATAAATTTTAGTCTAAAAGGAATAACTTGAAGTATAAATGGACTCATAAACCTTTCTCTCTCTCATTCAGTATGTATTTTACACTCACTTTGCAGTGGAACCTAAACTAAAGGCGTGGGTGGCATCTACTCCTTGACTGCCTTTCTTTGTGCTACTGATAAACTAAAATAGCTCATGCTGATTGATTGTTTGCATTTATCACTTTATGTTTATCAAGTGCAATCTTATTTAATTTCTCTGAATTTAGATGTTAACTTTTTTATTAGCAGAAGTTCATTTTAATTTGATCATAATTAAAGGAAACTTCTTTAAGTATGTTGTGTACCTCTGTAGGATAAAATAAAGCATGCTCATGTTCATGACATTACCCACTCTTCCTTGAACAGGATTATTACGTGGTGATATTGTGTCCTACGGAGATGGATGTGCAAGTTCGGAGGGTGCTACAGATTCCAATGTGGTCACAACGAGTGATCTACCTTCAAGGCTCAGCCCTTAAAGATCAGGACCTCCTGAGAGCAAAGTAGGCATTGCCACCCACATTCTATCTCTAATATTTTAATTTTCAGTCCTCTGATGACTTTTCTCTTATAATTTTTGTAAGATACATTTCACACATATTTAAATTTAAAATTGAGCTCAGTTCTGCTGATTATAGAACATATAATAATACTACTAGAAATATAGGCCTTTTCCTCCTTTTGTTTGAAGTCAGATGTCTATGATAACACAGTTATATCATGCAATGAGAAGTCGCCATGATAGAATAATGATTGCTGTCAGAGATAGATAAGAGGTCTTGAGACTTCCCATTATTAAAGTCTCCAAATTTCACAATTTGGCTTTTGTTTTATAAATAAAATATTTTGCCTAAATATTAGGTGAGATATCAGAGCATGAGCCAGTGTTTGAATTTTTAAAAGGTTGCAGCAGGTTCTCAGCAGCACATTTTATCTTGCTGAGGTTAAAGTCTGAAAAGTCCTCAGAGCGGGAGGAAGCAGGATCCTGAGACATCCTGTGGAGTTGCCCTCATATTCTCTATATGCCTGTCATCTGGGCTTAAAAGGTGCCATGGTCTAACCATTTGTTATGGGAAACTGAGGGAATAGACTGGGGGGCCTTAGCCCACTAGGGGATTGAGGCTAGCACAAACAATTTTCTTAGCTTTAATACCAGGAGAAATCTCTAGCAAGCAGAGCTTTGCTAACCTCTGCTGTTAAGGATTCAAGTGTATGTTCATGTTTCTCCTTGGATGCTTTCATCTACTGTTTTAAATGTGATGGTTTCCTCATCACAATTGATAACCTAAGATTTTTGCCTTCCAGGGTTCACCTAATGTCCCAAGTCATGCTTAGGTACTGAGTAGTTGTGAATTCTGAAAGTACTTTTGATCTATCATGAGGAAAATAAATTTAGCTGAATTTTGTTTTATTTAATGATTTAATTAAAAAAAAAAACAGTGAAGAGAAACTTCCACAAAATAACGAATGGTAAATATTGGGAAACTAAAGAAACTTAATATTATATATTTTGTTTTAGAGTTTATCTCCATTAAATACTATAGGTGACAGTTCTATAAACAGTCAGATATTACTAAACTCTTGTGTGAATTTGAGCTTTAACACTTTCTTAATTGATATCTATATAATTATTAGAAGTTGCCACATTTGCATCCTCTAAAGCTCTATATTCTTTTATCTATATACATCAATCTCCTTAGATTACTATCAATTAAGTTCTTCACATAGCTTTTCCACTGTGTATTGATATGTATGCATGTAGTAGAAGCATTTTATTCTGGGAATTTAATCCAAGCTGTTTGTTTTAGCTGTAGTTATCTCTGATAAATTTTACGTGGCAGTACTCATATTAAAATGATTTTCTACAAAAAGGGTCACTTTAAAGAAAACCCTCCATGTAAATTGTAAATAGATAAATGGCGAAAAAAAAGGGGTGACAAGGGACTGTTGACCACCTAGCACTGTTCCAAGAGGTGGGCTTAGAAAGACATCTCTTAGGGTGACAGACTATTTGCTGTATGGACATTCCTAATCCTAATGTTATATAAAATATTTGGGACTTAATGATAACTAATACATTCTTCAGCATAATTCCCCATGCAAGGAACAAGGAGTAGGAGTCTCCAAACAAGTCCCGAAGGTCAGTTTCTTGACTTCACTGCTTTACAGAAAATAACGCTTAGAGAATTTGTCCAACACCAGTGTTATTTAGCAATCATGCCTCAATGTTTTCTTCAGAATTGTTTTGTTTGGGTCAGTTTCCTGGGCTTTTTATCTTTCTTCTCTAGTGAGAACATATTTTTTTTTGAAAAATCTAACTTTATCACAGTGTACCAGAAAGATAAATCATTACTAATTTGAAAAGCAACCATTCTCATGTTTTAAAACCACAAGTTATGAAGAACTAAAACATATTTTTTTAGTTACTAATTTTGAGAATTGAAAAGCATTAGCATGAGGAAATAGAGTTTGAAACAAGAGGCTGGACAGTCTCCTGGAAGCATAAACATACAGTGGAGTTTGATTTAAAACCACTACACATATCTGTTCCCTCTCTCTAACTGAGTAGTTATAGTTCAGTTAGGTTAGCCATATAATAAAGATCAGCAGTGTTCCTAATATGAGCAAAACATATTAATAAAACTATAATAGCTAATTTCAACTTCTTTTTCTGCAATAAAATCAAGAGCTCTATGATTATGCCATTTGTTATTTTCAGAAAGGTAGTCAGGGTTGACCAGATATCCGACTGTCCTTTAAGTGTCAGGACACACAGATAGCTGTGGACCAGGCAATGACACAGCCACTCCAGCAGCATTTCGGTGTGGTTACTCTGTTTCCTGTCTGTGTTTAGGATGGACAATGCGGAGGCCTGTTTCATTCTGAGCAGCCGCTGTGAAGTGGACAGGACATCATCTGTAAGTCAATGAAACCCCCTCAGTAAACTTTGGTTTTCACCATGCAAGGTTTTTGCTTAGTATGAGTTGAAACAAAACAAAACAAAACAAAACAAAAAAAAAAAAAAACAGGGAAATCAAAAAATCTAGCAAATGAAAACAAAACAACAGCAACAAAAGAAAGCAAAAACTAGCATAATGAAACTTTGTAACTTTAAATTTTCACCAAAGTTAAGCAATTATTTGTTAGCTATAATTATTTTAACATTAAAAACATTGTCCATTGTGTCAACAAAACTCTTATTAATCTTTTACCTACTTTCTAGTAATCCTTTAGCTAAATATGTCCTACAAGATAGAGCTTTGTTAGGATGACCTAACCCTCCCTAACACCAAATGAAAACAGATGACTCAAGTATAATGAGATTAATTGGAGAATTTCTTTAACACTATATGTTGCTTTGAAAACTCTTTTCAAGTTATTTAAAGTGGGGACTGGAAATGTTCATTGTTTAAAAAGATATGCAGGAATCAGTTTGGTAACTTGACTTAGTAGAATTTCTGTGATGTATTTTTTTAAGTCCAGGCTACTTTAAATCAAACTAACTTAAATAAATTACCGGCTTATGATTATAGTTTTCGAAGAGATAGTTTAACTGCACTTGGTTTTGTATAAACTTGGATTAATAAATGGTAATATGATTGGCTTTATATATGAACTTCTTGCTCACAGGTTTGTAATTTAAAAAAGCTTTCTCACTAGTCATGAGAAGATGGTTCCTATGAAGTGATTCTATTTTCACCAAATTCAAATGCTAGAAACCTTACTTTTAGTGGCTCAAGATTTGAATTTATCTAGAGACAAGGTATTGACAATAGTTTAATGTGGAAATAGAGTCACTTTTTGTGAGTCTCTAATGTGAGTCTTAAAAACAATGGTGTCCTATACAAGAAGAAAAATGTAAGGAAGGTGCATACATGAAGGGTTTCATATAAACATGAAAGTTGTCAGAAGAGCCAACGACATGCACTTGGCATAAGATCTCCCCTCACAGCTCTGGAAAGAGCCAAATTGTCACCACCTTGAGTTCAGTCTCTAGCATCTAGGTCTGTGGGAAAATAGATTTCTGAGGATTATCTGACTTTCTGGGATTTTGTCATAGCTATCCTGGAACTAATCATCAGACATCACACAAGCACAAGGTCAGATAATATCTCAAATAGTTCTTTTACATATGTTTTAAAAAGTCGGGGCTGTGGAGATGATCAGTTGTTAACTGCATGCACTGCTCTTACAAATGAGCTGGCTTCACCTCCCAGAGACTTTATCATTGACTAGCAGCTGCAGGAGGCCTGACACTCCCCTGTTCTGAGTTCTGTGGTAACTTCTCCACATTTGCCTCACACACACAGACACACAAACTAAAGTAAAAATTTTAAATGTCTTCACTCCTCTCCGTTATCATGTAAATTATTTTAGTCTAGATTTTCATTACTTTATGTAATTTCAATTTGAGATTCCCTATATAGTTGGGCATAAAAGTACTCCAACCAGATCTGATACAGTAGGGAATTTGAACATAATTGTATGTGGGTATTATCGTTTCACACATAGCTGACAGTTTTGTTCATATGGATTTTTAATTTTACAGATCTTATACTCTCTCATTAAGGAGCAGAGACATATATATGCAAATAATGTATAGTATTTTCTAGAGTTAACTTTACAACATGAATTTAGGAACCTTTAATTGAAATATTTGTAATCCATTACTTTCTGATTGAAGAAAATTGGCAAGAAGTTAATAAAAGTACCCATAAGGACTAAAAGTTAAGTAAACGAGGCAACAGTAGTAGAATTCTGGAAGTTCTAAAGCAAGTAGATGAGTGGCAACTGGCTCATCTAGAGGAAGTTAAAGTTTATGTTTATAGAGGAAATGCATCACAAGTTCCTGCTGTTGTCAAGGGGACCTCTAAGGTCTCAGAAAAAAAGGGGCCAGTTATTGCTTAAACTAGAAATGTATGTAGGACTTGTTCAAAGTCAAAGAAAGAAGCAAATTCCCTGTATCTCTCCACCTTTGCCTTGCTGGATACTTTCTGAACTCAGGGAGAAAAGGTATGGTATTTAGGCAATTTTCAAGGCTAGTAAGTAAATCTGGGTGACCTAGGTACACGCTTCATCTTAGTGGATTGAGCACTAATTGTTTGATGTATTTTATATGCTTCTTTATATAAACATATTTTGGGGAAGTGGTTCATCATAAAGGAAAATGCTATATATGCTGGTGTGTGTGTGTGTGTGTGCGTGTTTGTATGTTCTTGTGTGCACACAAGAGTGTGCATTCACATGTTCATATGAATATACAAATATAGAAATCCCTGGGGCAATATGTGATCATGCTATAGTGAAACATATGTAATACTACTGTACTACCATTTTTTTCTTTGAATTTTTCTATTTTAAATACTTTTCTTTATATATATATATTCAGTTCATAGGAGTCAGAGTAAGTGGATATTTTAGAGAACGGCCAAGAATAATAATAAAGAAAAAGAGAATGAATGAACACAAAATGTATACCAAAGCTAAAAGAGAAATCAGGGGAAGCAGAAGAAACTTACTATAAATATGGATGCAGAAATAATTTTTACAATATCTATTCAGAAGATGTTGATATTCAATAAACTCCTTAAGTGTAATGTGAGAGCTCAATGTCTGTATCAAAAAAGAATAATAAACTACAAAACAAATCAAATCAACTGATCAAAAAACATTCCAGAATCCTCTAGAAGCCTCTGTAAATACAGGAAAATTCAGTTAGTAGTCTAGAAGGTAAACTTAACGCTAGACATATGAAGAAAACTAGACTACATAATAAGCCTAACTCAAAAACAAGAGTAAGTCATGAGAACATAGCATTTTATTCACCTAGGATTAAATGGATGAAATAATATCTACAACGTACTAAGTAAAAAGAAGGGAACTGAGAACCAACTTCTTCTGTCACACACAATTCAATTCAATCAAATTTGGGAGATGAAACTGTCCACTGTGTAAGACTTGCTTATTGTAGTATAATAGCTGTGAAATAACCACATTTGCATTGGATGTAGATGGGCATATAGTGAACAAAATTAGCATGACGAATACTAATCAAAGAAACTGAAGGAGAAGCAGAAAAAAATACATTTAAAACTAACTATGGAGAAACCAAATTCTCCATGCATTTGAATTGACTGGGTTACTTTGATAAGGTAAAATCACTTGCATTTATGCCAGTATAATATAAGGAAATGCCAGTAAACAAAGATTGAATTTAAAGTTTATATATATATATATATTTATACACATATGGCTACATATATGTTTATATGGATATATACATACATATATATGTATACACACAGAAACAGAAACACACATGTATGCATGCACATGCACACACACAGACACACACAGTTCTTCAAGGAGATGGAAATAAAAATACATTTCTTTTCAAATTTCTGAAAAAAATCTTTTCCACATAGAATTCTATATGAATTTTTCTTTTCTTAAAAAGAAAAGCCAAGGAGATAAAAGGGAAGTCACTCATTTTTGAACAGATTAGTTTTCAAACAGAGTACAACTCTTGGGAAGATACTAAAAGATGTGGTTTCCAAAACCTAAGTGAGAGCAAAGAAAAGATCTCCAATACCCAAAGCCAGTCTTGAACCAACAGCTATGAGACAGTTTGCATTTGCCGAGTCACCTCACAGCACATGGAGGGCTGCCTGTGGACAACTGTCAGTTGCTGTTCTCTGATGTGGGTGAACATACTGAAAACAGATTTCTGCTTGACAAATGGTGCACCCAGAATGTGACCTATTCAAATTTAAAAGTTGAAGGTCTGGCTCCCACAATGCCATAGTTGATTTATATTTAGACCCAGGACTTGAAAATAGGAAATAAAGTTCAAGGAAAATCATTAAACTAGTTCCTCATCTGGTTGTGATTTTTGATATTAAGGACCAGTACTATGGGGCAGCCTTGTAAGGAGCCAGCCAAGGCTTGGGATCTAACAGTGAAATCCATGCGTTTAGCATCTTGTTATGGACTATGTCCTCCTGAACAGGAAAAATTTAAAATTCTCTTATATATGAGCCACCCAAGTCTGGAGTATGCTTCTTTAACTGCCTAAACAGAGGAAATAAACCTTGCATTCATGATTTGAAGAAACAAATGAATAAAGTACTGTACAGCCTCAAGAAGAAAATGAGCTATTGCTGATTGAAACTGAACTGTGATGCCCTTCCTGTCTTACAAAGAGCAGTTGCCAGCAGAATGAAAACTCAATAGTAATCACATCTCAATTTATTGTGAACTCTAGTTCAAAGATGTGGAGCAAGGGAGGTGACCATGAGATCAGGTAAGGGAACACAATGGTATACTTTTTCTGTCATGGGAAGCCAGTAGATAACATTTTTAAAGGAAAAAAAATAATTAAGAAATAGAAATCTATTAATACAGTCAAAATTAAAAAATAAGGAAACAAGAAAATCATCAGTATTAGAGCTTTAAAGTTAAAGTTTTTTTTTTAAATATATACAATAGAATAGTGTGATAGCTTCAAAGGAAATGGACTGATCCCGGAGTGGCATTATTAGGAGGTGTTCCTTTGCTGGAGTAGATAAGCCCTTGTTTAAGAGAGGAAGTGTGTCACTTTGGGGGTGGATTTTGAGGTATCATGTATGTTCAAGCTACACACAATGTCTCAGACTATTTCCTGTTGCTAGGACAAGATGTAGAACTCTCAGCCATCTCTCCAGTGCTGTGTGCTTGCACGACACCATGTCTCACCACAATGATAATGGACTAAATCTCTGAACTTTAAACCACCACCTCAATTAAATATTTTCCTTCATAAGACTTTCCATGTCGAGGTGTTTCTTCACAGCAATAAAAAACCTAACTAAGACAAATGAAAACAGGAAGCTGCTACTTTATTTTATGGACATTATAGAAATAGAATCTATTCAAGTGC